TCAGGGAAGTTTTCTGCCAACAAATCTTCAACAATTCTCTCTGTATTTTCTGTTATTCCCCCCGTTCTGGTACTCCAATCACTCGTAGGTTATTCTTCTTGATAGAGTCCCACATAATTCTTAGGGTTTCTTCATTTTTTAAAATTTTATCTGATTTTTTCTCAAATAAGTTGATGTTACATGCTTTATCCTCAATCTCACTAATTCTGACTTTCACCGCCCAATTCTGCTCCTAAAACTTTCTTCTGAGTTGTCTATCTCTGAAATTTTATTGTTAACCTTCTGGGTTTCTGTTTGCTGTCTCTCTATGGATTCTTGTCATTATGCTCTTCTATAATCTTCTCAAGTTCCTCTATTGCTTTGTGTGTATGTTCGTTCCTTGGCACGTTCTATACTTTAACTGATCTCCTTCCTGCTCTCTTGAAGAGTTCTGTATATTAATCTTTTATATTCTACCTCCAGTAATTCCAAGAAGTTCTCTTCCTCCAGAAGATATCTTGACTCTTTGTTTTGGGAGCTTGCTGAAGCCATCATGGTTTGCCTCTTTATGTGACTTGATATTGACTGTTGTTTCCGAGCCATCAATAAGTTATTATATTTATTTATTTTATGTTTGCTTACTGTGTCCTAGCTTCTTGTTTTGATACGTCCAAATAGGCTGGTTTTTGTGAGCTAGTTTGATTATCAGTGGCTTTGAAGCTCTAACATCCTGTCACCAGGTGATTAGGTCTATTACTAGGTATGTGAGCCCAGGAGTCCATTTACTTTTCTTTATGGATTCAGCTCAGAAGTCCAGGTAGTCAGTCACCAAGTGTATGGTGTAGGCTCTCACCTACAGTCTTAGATGGGCGGGGATGATTGGAGTAGGCACAGGTTTCTGGCTGCAGTAGGGGGTCACGAGCTCAGCAAGGCAGGGGGCTAACAGCTGCCCCTGAGTGTCTGGGAGGAAAGCGTGTACCTGTTCCCTACAGCGCATAGGTGGGTGGGTTTTGCAGCCAGACTATGGGCACCCAATGCTGTTGGCTGTAAGGACTGGGAGGCACCACTTATTCTTTGACCGCTGTCCAGGTGGCTAGGTGGCATGGGTGTAGACACCAGTCCTCAGGCCCCTGCCGTGGGTGAGGACCCTTAGTAGGTAGAGCAGTGTCAAATGTCACGGACCTGCCACACCACCATACAGCGGATATAGCTGAAGTTAGGCTGCAGGTATTTACCCCTGTTGTACTGTGCTAATGAGGGCCTATGCTGTTGAATGGGCCCACAAAGGTCTATGCAGGGACGAAAGGCATTCATAGTCTGTGGACCCCTTATGCCTGTGCCTAGGCAAAGGAGCTGTGCCTGCCCTGAGTTCCCGGCTTAGGGGAGTTGGAAGATTATTGTTTCCTGTTTGTTAATTTGTTCCCTCTCCAAGGTGGGGAGAATGGCTCAGGGTGCATGACAGGTCCTACTTCCAGCCCAGGGGACGAAGCAGTCGCTGAAGCTGGTCCGGGACCTGGTACAGAGCAGGGGAGAGGTGGGTAAATGGGGTGTTTTTTGATCCGTGCAGTAGGTTAGACGCATGTACTTATATCTTTCGCCGACTGATCGCCGCTTTTCACTGGTTATGAAGGCTTGGGTAGACTCCCTGCCACTCGGTCTCTCCTGATGTGGAAAACACATCCCAAGTGCCATTGCTTGCCTCACCGCACATGCCAGCCGATCCAGCCTGCAGGGTGCTGGTTCCCGCAGGGTCAGGTCTGGTAACTCCTCGTTGCTTCCGAACCATCCCTCCCTCCCCCTGCCACCCACTCTGATTCCTCAACTTTGCCTTTGATGTTCAAGGCTCCTAGATTGTGATATATAATCAATTCACTTGTATTTATGGGTCTTTGTTGTAATAGGGACCACAGGAAGTATGTGATTACTCTGCCATCTTGGCCCCACCTCTTATCTATTAATTTTGAATATAGTGTCTTCTATTGCACGGAATTTTTTTTTTTTTTTTTTTACTGGTTTATGTATTTTATCTAAGTCTTTACCACTCTGATGTCAAACATATTCTTCTATACTTTCTTCTAAAAGTTTTGCTTTCTACATTTAGATTTTTAATCCTCTTAAGAGTTAATTTTTGTGGCACAGTTTTAGGGGTCTCATTACATATTTTTCCATATGGATCACCAATTATCCCCACACTTTTATAGTTTATCCTTTCCTTCCAGATTTGTAACGTTATTTCTAGCATACACTAAGTTTCCATATACATGTAGATCTATTTCTGGGCTATTTTATTGCATTGTTCTATTTATATTTGTTGATACCATACTGTCTTAATTACTATAGTCTTAGTCTTAGTGGTATTGTTGTTAGATGTCGTCAAGTCAGTTCTGACTAACAGCAACCCTACGTACAACAGAATGAAACACTACCCATTTCTGCGCCAGTTTCATAGTCGTTGGTATGTTTGAGCCCAGTGTTGTAGCCACAGTGTCAATCCGTCTTGTTGAGGGTCTTCCTCTTTTTCTCTGATCCTTTACTATACCAAGCACGATGTCCTTCTCCGGGGACTGGTCCCTCCTGATAACATGTCCAAAGTACATGAAATGAAGTCTTGCCATCCTTGCTTTTAAGGAGCATTCTGGCTGTACTTCTTCCAAGACAGATCTGTTCATTTTTCTGGCAGTCCATGGTATATTCAATATTCTTTGCCAACACCACAATTTAAAATGCTTTAATTCTTCTTTGGTCTTCCTTATTCGTTGTCCAGCTTTCGCATGCATATGAGGCAACTGAAAATATCATGGCTTGGGTCAGGCACACCTTAGTTTCAGTGAGATCTTAGCTTTTTAACACTTTAAAGAGGTCTTTTGCAGCAGATTTGCCCAATTCAGTGTCGTCTGATTTCTTGACTGCTGCTTCCACAGGCGTTGACTGTGGATTCAAGCAAAATGAAATCCTTGACAACTTCAATCTCTTCTCCATTTATCATGATGTTGCCTTTAGTTCAGTTGTGAGGATTTTTGTTTTCTTTATGATGAAGTGCAAACCATACCGAAGGCTGTAGTCTTTGATCTTCATCAATACCCTTCAATATATGCGTATGTGTGTATATATATATATACACATATACATATATATATATACACATACACGCATATATATATATATCTTAATTCCACTTTCACATTCCACGCCTTTTCTATCTGTCCTGCTGCACTTTGTATAACTTCCTCAATATTAACAACTTTATGAATCTTCTATTGTACCCAATATATAGCTTCCCTGAATAGTACCCCACTGCGGAAGAATAAACCCAAAACCTTTCTGATGATACTAAATGCCTCATGACAGCTTAGTGGCCTCATAGTCCACTATACTACATTCCAATTCCCTTTATTCCTCAACATTTTCCCAAACACACTAGGTTCTTGCAATTGAAATTTTACTTTGTGTCATTATCATATAGTATCTATTATACTACACGGCATTGATTATTTGCATTTGTTTCTCACACTAGTCTTTTCCTTTTTGGGAATAGAAGCCATATAGCAGCAGAATCAATTAGTAAATTTTATATACAAGACTTCTGATAAACATAAAAGAAAGTGGATAGTTAACAGAAATGGACTTAGTAGAAAAGGAGAATAACTACTCAGAAGTCCAAAAGAGTTCAAATGTACTTAAACTTTTTTGGAAAATGACCCCAAAGTAGCAAATCCAAGGCAAGTCTTTTGAACTTCTTTCACTTATCACTTTCTTTCTATAAGAAAATTTTTATGAACATGAGAGATGGCTCAATACTACCTCTAGAACATTTGAAAGGAAAACAATTCATGTATAACATTAAAAATACAAAGCAATAGAAAGTAACAGATAAAAAGTCAATTTTCTTGACTAATGAAAATAGTTTTAGAACCATTAAGTAAAAATTTTAATGTTACTATTGTTTTCCAGGACAAATAAGATTTATTGAGCTGTTAAAACTTAAAAATTACGCTCAGATTAGTAGAATGGATGATAGAAAAAATATATAAAGTCTTACAGTTTAACTTCTGAAATTTATCAAGCATGCCTAAAATATGATGACATTTTCAAAATGTTGGCATTTGTTAAAAATCAAGAGATTTTCAAATTGAGTAAAATGATATCTGGCTTTTTGTAGCTTATAAGAAATACATTTAAAACAAACTGACCCAGATAGCTTACAAATACAGAAGTAGGCAAAAACATAATATATCAGTTGTCATCGAGTCACCTTTGACACATGGCAACCCCATGTGTGTTAGAGTAGAACTGTGCTCCTTAGAGTTTTCAATGGCTAATTTTCTGGCAAATCTGCTGCAAAAGACCTCTTTAAAGTGTTACAAAGCAAAGGTGTCACTTTGAGGATTAAGATGCACCTGACCTAAGCCATGGTATCTTCCATTGCCTCATATGCATGTGAAAGCAGGACAACAAAACAGAAAGACTGAAGAACAACTGATGCATCTGAATTGTGGTGTCCGCAAAGAATACTGGTTATACCACGGACTGCCAGAAGAACAAGCAAATCTGTCTTGGAAGTAATACAGCCAAAATGTTCCTTAGAAGCGAGAATGGTGAGACTTTGTATCGCTTACTTTAGACATGTTATTAGGAGAGACCAATCCCTGGAGACGTCATGCTTGGTAAAATGGAGGGTCAATGAAAAAGAGGAAGACCCTCAATGAGATGGACTGATACCATGGCTGCAATAATGGGCTCAAACACAGCAATGACCGTGAGGATGACACAGGACCAGGCAATGTTCTGCTATACACAGCGTCACTATGAGTCAGAACCAGCTCGAAAGCACCTAACAACATGGAACTTGTAGCTCTCAAACTAGAGAAAAATTATTCTTTAAAAAAGACCCAAAGAACATTTGTAAGTTGAGTATACATTATGCTACAAAGACAATCTCATTAAAATTGAGAAAGTTGAAACCAAAATGTTGGTATTAGCCTAAGTCTTAGGTAAAGATAAACCTGCATACTGACACTCACAGCAGCAATAGAAGGCTTCTTCCCATCACCAGCAGGTGGATGAGTGACATCTGCTCCCAAAAAGATCACTGGTTGCTGGAACACAGAAGGTCTTAAACACATTTTTAAAAGAGTTAGATATTCATTTTTTTTCATTATTCATTTATCTGTCTCACACTACTGCAAAACAACTCAAGTTGCTGACAGAGCACAGAGGAGGTCTTTTATAGATAGCTTCATAGGCCTGAACTACTGATAGCTTTATTCTCTTAGTTCATGAATCCCTAGTCAATGAAATAAAAGATGTCACAATGGGTCTATCCAACGTCTTACTCAGAGCAGTTTCTGTCTTTAGCAGTGGTACTGGTGGATGCAGAGGGCAACTCCATAATAGCCCTAAAATGATAACTTTCTTATATCACTCCATCGATTTTTATCAATCTTTCTTGACTTTAAGTCTTATGGTTATGTAATCTCTCAAAAAAAAAAAAAAAAAAAAAAA